GATATATATATATATAGACATACAGACATATATGTATATATATACAGACATACGTGTATATATATATATACAGAGATACAGACTATACATATATATAGACATATACATACATATACTGCATTACATATACATATACTGATATATATATATATATATATATATATATATATATATATATAAATATATATATATATATATAAAAAAAAAAAAAAAAAAAAATTCAACCGGGTACCCGATCGGGTAACCCGGTAGGATTTCTAATACCCGGACCCGACCCGGTTTGGGAGCACCGGGTACCCGAACACGGAAAAAACCCGGTTTCATAAAAAATTACCCGATCCGGTCGGGTAATACCCGACCGGGTCGGGTTATACCCGAATAACCCGACCCGAATGCCCACCCCTAGAAATAACTAAAGTTGGAACGATTGTTGTATGGTATATTAAATAGTAGTGGTCATTGAGACGACATACTTTTTGCAGTGGGGTTCTACTGATTGGGGTAGGATTTCAATCATTTCAATTTTTTAAATTTAGAAAAACCCTTAAATCCTCAAATCTCTCTCAAAATTCTGTCAAAAATATGATTTTTTTTTTAAAACTCTTGACATTAAATCCGGGTCACGATTTACGGTAACGTTTACTAATTTAATTTATTTATATTCGTTTAATTACAATTGAGGTAGTAAATGTAGGTTTAAGATTAGGTTTTACGGATTAGAAGTACGAAAAACAAAATGTGAAATGTAAGAGCATCTCCAATAATAATAATAATAATAATAATAATAATAATAATAATAATAATAATAATAATAATAATAATAATAATAATAATAATAATAATAATAATAATAATAATAATGATAATGATAATGATAATAATAATAATAATAATAATAATAATAATAATAATAATAATAATAATAATAATAATAATAATAATAATAATAATAATAATAATAATAATAATAATAATAATAATAATAATAATAATAATAATAATAATAATAATAATAAATTTACTTATAATAATACAATATTTAAATAAAAAGTAGAGAAATAATCTTCAACTAATTAGGATTTACGAATAAAGATATAATTCAAAAGAAAATAAAAAATAACAGAAAAAAAAATGGAAAAAAATATAAAAATATTTATTTACAAATTATGTGTTTGATTTATTGAAATTATGTGATATTAAATTATGTAACTAAATAAATGAAATAAAAATAAAATAATGATATAATATAAACAATAAATACAAAAGAAAAGGAAAATAAAATATATATAAAAATAACATATAGAAAGAGAAAGAAAAGAAAAAGAAAAAACACCAACTCTCAACAAAGGAGGGAAAAAAAACAGAAAAAAAAAAAAAAAAAGGAAAAAGGGGAGTGAGCACACGCACGTGCGTTGGGAGGAGACAGCCCAAGAGATTCCTCCCCCGTCTCCACACCTCTACCTACCCCAGACCCACCCCCATTGGAGGTGGTTTTGCCTCCCCACCCCGATCTCCATTGGAGACAGGTTTTAGAAAATTAATTTTTATTTGCATTTAGGGTCACTCTACAAAATATTTATTAGTCCTATGATTAAGTTGTGTTTTACAAGTATAGCTAGGGATATAAATCCGATTGATCGGATCGGAAATGGGCCTTTCTGAAAATTTCCTATTTCTGAACAATCTAAGTTCCGATTCAGATTTTCCAAAAGTTTTGGAATCTGAAAATGAGATCTGATTCCGATTTATTCGGAAATTTTCAAAAAAGAAGGGAAGACGAGAAAAACATTAGAACACAACAGAGAAACTAAAAAGAAGGGAATCTCTCCAAGAAATGCAACGCAACCAAAAACTTATGTTCTCTTCAAATTATAGTTAACATTTAAAATACATAAGGTAATGACATTTGTATATTGTTCAAGATAAGGGCAAACAATTACTGCTCAATAAACAGAAGACAGTAGAAAACAACAACATAAGATTATTAATTTATCGAGTATCAATTAATCGACCCATATTTACTAATAAAAATTTCAAAATATGTGTGTTTCAAATGTTCTATGCTCTTAACGGTGTGTTGCACAAGGACCTTGGTTTATTCATAAAAGACATCAAGGGTAAATAGAGAAACACGGTACACCAAATAAAAGCACAGCAGCATCTGAAAGAAAATTGATACTGGTTTTTGCATTTTTCTTTTTCAATAGCTCAAGTCCTCTCTCTCTATATAGCACTCAAGGCACCATAATACCTACCTCTAAAATACACCACTATGAAATCAAAATTACATCTCGAATTCTAGAGGTGATATCCCGTAACCACCAAACTAAGCAAAACCACCAATGGCTAAAAGCTACAAGTAAAAAAAAATGTATAAAATAAACGAAAACATACCTCAAAAAGAAAAACCAAAAAGGAAAAAAAATAACCAAAAAAAAAAAATTATTCCCAGAATAATTGAGCTATATATATGCTACAAATCCCTTTCCGAAAGGATGGTCAACCTACTCGCTAAACTGATAATAAGGACGGGGCTCGAACAACTCAATAAACGAAAAACACATACTTTCAACAAGTGCCGGTCAATGTTAAATCGCTGCGGAGAAATCTAACGCCACTGTGCTGTTTCAACTTGGCAAGAGCTTCTTGCGTGTCGCCACGCTTTATATCTACATAAATTGCAGTAAGAACAGCTTGGGAACTTTTAGGTATATCAGATAATGCCTTGGTCACAAAGTATTGGGCCTTCTCAAGTTCTCCCATTAACGCAAAATTGGCAGCATAATTCGCACAAATTATCCCACGAGCCTCTTCAGGACTGTGAGACGTTGATCTTCGAAATTCATCCTCTTTACGAGTTACTACAGTCCCACCTTGTTGTAACTCATCATTATCCGGCACCACTTTTTCGACCGTCCACTTTTCACAGTCCTCGTGGCTATACGGAAGCTCGACATTATTATTAGCACCAGACACATATGTCATCAAATGCTCTGCAGCTTCCATGGGCTTATTTAGTAGGCACAAAGCCTCTGCTGCATACACGATTCCTAAAAATCTGTACATCTTTTCGCACTCGGGAAGTTTCATTAGAGACTTTGCTGTCGATAAGGCTTTCGAGGGATTTCCTAGTGCCAGCTCTACAAATGCCAAATCAGCAAGTGTAGCTTGTCTCATTACCTGGTTTTCCTTTGTACGAATATTTTCGTAATCAAGCACGGAGTTTCGATAGTCTCCGCCCCTTTTTTCTTTCACTTCACCGTTTTCTTTCGATTCAGTTTCCTCGGATGATATAGAACTTGCCTCCAAAGAGTCTAACAAATACAAAGCGTTGACAAGACACTGTCGGGCAAGGGACATTGACAAAGCAGGCTGTTTGTCATCAGACATGTGACCATTAGGTGGACTCCCTTGTCTCAAACCAAGCTGTCTCCATTTTCCCTTTCCAATAACGTTCACTGTGATATCAGATCGGTCAGACGAAGAGGAAACGGAGTTTATTATCAGCCCCTTTTCTAAGGCCATTAAACAGCACTCTGCAATTCTTAGCCACAAAAGTGGTCTGTCGTGAAAAATTAGGCTGGCTGATTGAAAACAGCGAGCAGCATGAAAAGGTCTGCCACATGCCAATGAGTGGACCCCACAATTATACGTTATCATAAGGGATTTATCCTGTAACAAAGTTAGGAGTTTCGGGGATTTTTTCTCCTTCTGCACAACTTGGGGCGAGCTGTTCTTTAGGGCTTTGGAGAAGAATATACCTGACGTATGATGCTTTCCGAGCTGGTAATAGATGCACCCGAGATTGTTGAAGTACAGGCTAGGGAATCCTATCTCGTTGTTGTTATTCGACGCATTCAAAAGCTTGATTGCTTTGCGATGGTTCAAACGAGCATATTCGAGCTGTGACTTGAGATAAAGAGCCAAGGGGTAATCTGTTCCACGAGCTATGTTCATAGCCATCTTAGCTTCACGTTTGGCTGCTTTAAGGTTCCTAGTGAGGATGAAAAGCCGAACCTTGTAAAAATGCAACTTAAGCCTCAAATCGGATGCTGACATGGACTCCTCTGATTGGATCCTGGCAATACCGGTTCTTTGAAAGTTACGTCCACTGATGTCAGGAGAAGAAAGCAAGTGCAATGAGTCATCTTCGAGTGCTTCATCTGATAAGGCTCTAGCTAAGGAATTTTCCAACATATTCGAAGTATGATCGGTTTGAGATGAATCAGGATTAGTTGAATTGCTGGGAAGCAATATAGATTTTGAAACTAATGAAGATTGTTGATGCGCTGCAGTTCCACTATCTACTTGATTGACACAAAACACCTTCTCCATGTAGCTTATTACATCCTAAAACAATAGATATTGAGTGAGACAGTGAAGTGGCGTAAAAAGGAGTAAAATGCAAGTCCAGAAACAAATACTGTACTCGAGTGACATTGCAGAGTGAAGAGAAATACAAATAGCATATATAATGAAATAATTGTCTCGTTCTTATTATAACATAATCATAGCTAAATATTACAACCATCAAAGTTTACAGAAACAGGTAAAAGAAATTGCACGTACATCCATATAAAATGCCAATTAAACCTAAAACCACTATAAAGACTAAAGAGCAAATACAATGCATACTTGGTCGAAACCAGATCAGTTAATGAAAGCAGCTGCATGTTTAACATTTGTCTGCAATATTTAAGTGTCCCTTGTTTCACTCTCCACCATCCACAATGCCATACTCTCAAAACAATAACTCCAGACACACAGGAAACTTGAACTACAGGCTTATCCTAAAGGCACAAAAATAACATCTAAAAGACTAGATAAATACAATGACTTAAGAGTGCAACCAGTTCAGAGTTGATGAGACTATAAGTTGTATGATACAAGTGTTCAGTTCCTCTAGCAAAATCTCATTTCTTTTCCAGAAGAAGTTCAATTTTTTTATTATGTAGTTCGACAATGTTACAACCCTTGTGGAATTAGTAGAATTATTTCAATCTATTTCAAAATGTAGTTAGAAAAGTAATGTCAGTTATAGTGACTAACAAATAATAAAGTTTTATGATAGGATCAAGGATTATATTCCCCAAGGCTTTATTTTGACAGAAATCAACATAAAGGCTAAAAGTTCGGTCGTTTAGCTAGAGGTAATAGGAACAGTAATGGTAGTTAAAATCCTCAACTCCTAGGATAATCATATTGTACTACCCTCTACATTGTTAAGTCACAGTGGAATCATAATCCAATTAAAATCCTTCAAGTTAGATTCTACCGGATTTTGATGATTTTACTTTTGGACCAAAATTGGATTGGGATCAGGTTTGTTCGGCCAGACCCAAAATCTTTTTCCAAAAGCAAATGAATCCTAAGTAAAGCAACACATTTTCATTCCTCCACAATGTTTCTTTCCCATCACGAATGCTTACGGCCATTCAAGTAACAACACAGAAGATGACATACGCGATAATGGGTGTGGTGACAAATGCTGTTTGCTTTTTACGAAAATATTTTAAAAAATTCTTGAGCTATTCACCATTGCCCTCCATCTAGACCTCTCACCATCAACCGAGGACAAACAAATATATTATGGGAACTAATAAAGAAACAATTTTCAGATGAGAATAATTAAGCTATTTGAAGCTTCAGCCTCTTTCCAGTGAACAAAATCATAGTATGTATATCTGTTTTTTTCACCGTGTAGCTGACACATGCAATGATGTCATCCGAACCAACAAAAGGGAGTACTAGTTGCAATTAATAATAGCCTAACTCTATTTGTGGAATAGTTCATTACCATTCATTCATTCTTCAGATTGGTTAAAGCATACCTAACTCTATTTATTGTTTTATGCCTTCAATCTATAAAAATATGTATATTCTAGTCCTTCAATGGACCATCACTGATTTGAAACTTCAAAGTATAAAATTAACAAGAAAAGACGTAGCTAATTCTGCCACAGCTATTGAAGGACATTTGATTTGTATTGCTGTATTAGACAAAATCATTGCACACGTGATGAGACGGTAATCACTGAGCTGCTCAATCAAGCACCTAAAATATCAATTTACTTTATATTCTACAATATAAACTATGAAGGAAACAAGTTCATCCAATACAGGCATATTTCTTTTCAGCAATATTTTGTAGGAACCAGAGCAGTACAGCATACTAGTGATGTACTTATGTTAATAACCATCGATAGTCAATAAAATTGTCCAAAGTAGTCTTCTGCAGTTCCACTACTCACTCATGAAAAGATATTACTGCTTTATATGGTTTACAAAAACATTTGTCGCTAATGATTTTATAACACAGCACATAATTTATTCCATTAGACGAATCTAGTAGACCTTTTTTATACATATAGCGTCTCAGATTGGTAAATATGCAAATTTTATCAAGGTTTTAAGTAGCTATCTAATCAAATGTATGGTTTTTGGGACATATTCCTGGGGAAATAAGGGTAGCTGTGTCCATAGCAAATCGTACTATCAAGATCTTTCTGTGGATGCAACATGGCCTAACACATCTACCACTAAAAACTTCCCCAGAAATTAATATCAGTTTCCTATCAGAAATACTACTATTTATAATAACATCTAGGGAACACAATCAATATATTGCCAAAGCACAGGGAGATGTAATATCATTAATAAAATCATAGAATTTCCTTCAATTAACAAGTAGATTAAATATTCATTCTGTATACAACCAAATTCGAGGTTTATTTTCTTAGAAATTGAAGTGAATGTCTTCCCTTTAAAAACAAGGTTTTATCATAAAGCAAGTGACTCCTGGTAAGACTCATAACACCACCAAATCCAAACCATAGAAATGGATTAAGAAGAGCAGTCTGCTCACTTCATGTCTCATTTTGGCTTATTCCTTTTCCAATACCCAAAAAGAATGGAGGCATAGAAAACAAAATGTTGTCTGTTTCTCGTAAATGTAGAACCAGATACATGGAAAAAAAAAGAAAATAATAATATTGACATCAATTCAGAAATACTGCATCAACCGAACTTACAGCAGATCTTGATGCATTATGAGAAAGTAAAGCAACATCCAGCAATAGAAGGCATATACGAAGGGCTGTCCCCTGCGTGCGACAATTTCATAGTAAACCTACAGATCCATCATAACTAAATAATTTGAATTTATGATTAATGTACATGTGTTACCTCGCCAATAGGTTCAATGTTGTGATACAATATGTCCAAATAGGAGAATGATTTTGCGTATTCATGAAGATGGTACCATATGACTGCCTGTAGTCAGTTACGAGCATGAATAAATAAGAACAAAGACAAAAGGTTTATAAACGATGAACTAGCAATAAAAAGGTTAAGTGCAGCATACTATGTTGAACATTGTCAAGGAAGTTCCAAACTCATCACTGTAAACAACAGATGAGCTAGGATGTGCAGCAGCGTCACTTCCTATCATGCTAGTTGTATGTTTGCTTTCATTGTTCGCGTCAAAAGCTAAGTGTTCTCCAGGTGCACGAGCAAGCTCTTCATTTTGTTCCTAAATCGAGGAGAAAAAAGAAATCAACCAAACATAAGAATACAGGGCAAAGAACTCTTGACAAATAGTTTATAGTGAGAAGAAATGTTGCTCAAGACCACAAAGTAGTATAAATGCCATCATTTTTGTGAGGACAAAGACAAAGGTTTGCGGGCCAACCATAAGCCCTGCAGTTATTTTCTTTTCTGTTAGAAAGTAAAATAGAAACTCTGTGCAGATAAAATTAGCAGACGTAACACACTATAGAAAGCACCCAACAAGACCATTATTATCCAGAATCCCGAACTCATATCCCTTTAAGAATCTTCAAAGAACTCCAAAACTTACAAAAACGTGCATCTTTGAAATCTACGCTCAGACATGATTCCCTTGCAATCATTTCCTGACTTTTTCAGGTATTACAAATTTCACCATCCTTAGATCCTTGACTAAGAATTACACAGCATAGAAAAGATTTCCAGCAGTCCTAATAACTAACTGTCAGAATTGGATGGTTTCGATTTCAGTCTGCAGTTGGTTTTCTGCTTTTTCTTTTATAGTGGCTATTACAAAATTTATAAATATAAGTTTCAATAATATCATGTTTTTTCCTATAATAAAAGCAGAGATATTAATCCGGCCTCATCCTAGCAAGACAAAGGATATTACTCATCTTTCAAGAACACTTCATAGCAAAAAATGGACACAATGATCATGAAATTTCCACTAGTCACAAAAGAATGACGAGTCACATAGATCTTCCGTGCATTACAAAAGACAGATAGAGAGCATAAGTACAATCTAAATACAAACCTTTATGCGTTCAAGAGCTTTAATAATCCTTCTCGGATCTGAATATCCATCTTGAAAGCTCTCCGCAATGGTTATATTATGGTGAACCTAATGTGCAAGAACAACAACTAAAGAATGTCAAAGTTGTGTCAGTAAGGTTTAAGCTAAAAGTTTGAATTTAAAAAGAATTTGTTTTGGGGGTCTATTGTCACTCAGCATATTTAACCATTTGTACACTCAGAATGGAGGCATGAGTAATAGTAATCAATAGTCCTCAAAACTAATTCAAGCAAATCTGTTTCCAATTTATTCTAGTCATTCAAGTCTTAATAGATTTGAGTTAACTTGGCATCAAACTGAATCTTTTCATATTTCAATACCTCAAGTTTACTACTCCTTTGAAGGTTAATAAAAAATATACCTAGTTTTTTTAATTTTTTCCCATTCACGAAACAATCAATAAGCTAGTAGACATATAGACATTGTCACCAGAGGCTTTTATCACGTGTAAATGCATTCAATTTTAGCACGCATCACAAAGATTTGAGCAAATCTACCAACAATAGTATGAAAATTACGAGGATGGAAGAAAAATTAAAAACATAAAATCACAAGGTGTATACTGCAGAGTGTATAGCCTCAAGGTAGAAATATGAGAAGAGAAGCAAAAGTCCATCAAGAAACACTCTAAGACACCTTATCATCACTCCAAGGCCATCTATCAATCTCTTAGAACAGAAAGTTCATTGTGAGTTCCAAAAATACGAGACATCAAAATTACAAGAATTCCTTTAACATCTAGCACTAACAGAATCACCAAAATACCCTGATCTTGGAAGAACTAGTGACATACTCTTTTCAAATTTCACTATAAATCTTTTTTTTCATATTATTCTCCTTGATTAAACTTTGCATATACTGAAAATCATTAATAATCAATTGAAAAGTTGCTGTCGTTTGAATCAATTAAAAGATAAAAAATAAATCAAAAACCTAATTAGACTCCTACTCGTTTATCTGAAATCAGTAAAGCCTGAATTTTCCTACAGCTATTTCCGGAAACTCATTCCCAACAAAAACAGGAGCAGCACCATTTAGCGAAAGAAATCACGACAAGAATCAAAATGCCGTGAATTATCAAATATTGAATTTTAATTTACATATCAAGAACAGAAGATGCATAGTAGACCGACTTGAACACTAAACAGTCAAACGAAAATTTTAACAAAACCGTGTAGCACTTTTGAAACAACTAATCATTCCAATCTACCCAAGTACGTCCATCGTGCAATCAAGAAACAACCAATCATTCCAATCCTAATTAAAAAAATAATACTGGATTCACGAAATCGAGAAAATTTAACTCAACCCAAACAGTTCAACAAGAATCATAATTTCGAAAATGTAATTAACCTTTGGATCATCTTCTTTGTTCTGCAACAATTGATTCAGAACTCTCAAACATTCGACGAACTTTCCAGTCTGAAAGAGCAAAGCAGCCTCCTTAGAAAGTTCAGCAGCAACTAAAAGAGCACCGTCATCCTCTCCGTCAGCAGCCGCCGGAGACCCATCCCTAGTTACAAACGTCAATGGCGAAGGTACTGATTCCATTGGCGCACAGATCGATGAAGAAAACCCTACCTAGCAAAAACCCTCAGTCCCGGGCAGTTTAAATTGACATGCGAATTCGAATTTCAGCTGAATATCTTAAAACCCTAGCGATATGAGGAGGTGAAGAAGGGCCGGGATACGTATATTCCTATACACAGTGTCTTTCTATACATAGATTGCGAACGTCGATCGAGAGGGAGAGTAGAGAGAGGTTTTGGAAATTGGGGATAGAGAGAGAAAATCTAGAGTGAGAAGTGAGGCCTTTTATATAAGGGCTTTTATTCCTTCACTTGCAATTAAATTAAATATATAGGTTTATGGTCACAAAATTTAATAGAATGAAATGACACGTCCAACTAAATATTTGTATCGTTTTATTTATAAATTTTATTTTAAAATTATCCCTTCGTACACAAATTTGAAATTTGTTCAAGTAAAATTCAAATTGTATTTATATTTTTTACTCTGCATTTAACATCTTGATTTTCGCATCTAATATCTTTTTCTTTTTTTACAGATTTTTGGAATTTTTTTTCATTTTAGCTTTTTTTACCGTATTATAAAAAACTTAATTTTTCTTATTTTCCATATAATAATGCAAATTATATAAAAAAAAATTTAAATTACATGTTTTATCTTATGTCGAAATGTAGACATCGATAGTCACCCGTAGTCACTATCCTTAGTTGCAGGCATCTAAAACTTGAATTTCACTTCACCGCAGGGCCCTATGTTTGTTCATAAATAGTAAAGCATAGTATAATATACTATGGTATACTATGACATACTATGGTGTATTATGGTGTAATATGGCATATTGTATTATGGCATACTATGGTGTAGTATATAATGGACTATGGCTTACTATGTTGTACTATTCCAAAACATATCAACCAACAACTCCCCAGTTGTCGCCAAACATTATCTACCAAAACCTAGCCGCCTCACCAACCCTAGCCGTCGATCAAATTAAACCGTCGTTGCCATAGCGACCACCTCCATCATCGATCTGACCTCCCACCACCTTCTTCAATCGTGTTAGAGAATATTATATTATAGAACTCTTGTAATATTAGAATTCCAGTATGATTGAGTTACCTTGATTAGTTAGGATTTAGTTACCTAGTCAAATTATATTACCTTGCAATATTTTTCTATATATATTCCATGTAATCAACCAATAACATAATGGGGGTTTCTATTACGTATTATTATTTCTCTCTTTCTCCTATTCTATTCTTCCTATATGGTATCAGAGCACCAGGTTTTTTAACCTAGCCGTCTTTCTTCTCCATGGCGGTGACCACCCGATTTTCTCCCTCCCCCGGTGGTGGTATTCCTAATATCTTTCTTTTTCTATCTTTTTCATGAACACCACCCAATTTTCTCCCTCCCCGGTGGTGCATCTTCTCTATCTTTTTCAGACACTAGGTTAACCTAGCCGTCACCACCTCTTCTTCTTCATAGTCGTCGCCCCCCTTCTTCTCCATGGCCGGCGAAGCTTCTTCTCCCTCCACCGCCCCTCTCAATCCTTTTCACCTTGCTCATGCCATCTCTAATATTAATTCTCTCCCTCCCGGTGGTGGTACTCTTCTCTCTATCTTTTTTTTTCTATCAGATCCATGAACACCACCCAGTTTTCTTCCTCACCGGTGGTGGTAACTTATATTATTTTCCGACATCTTCTTCTTCTTAGTCGATTAATCTAATTTTTCTCTCTTTAATCTCCATCTTCTTTTAATTATTCTTCTTCCCTCTCCCATCTCTTCTCTCTATCTCGAAAAAAAAAAAGTTGCTTATTTTTCTCTCACCTGTTGTTATTATTATTATTATTATTATTATTATTATTATTATTATTATTATTATTATTATTATTATTATTATTATTATTTTATCAATTGGACAGATATTTCCACAGAGGAATTCTCTAGCGTTGTGTTTCGCGTTTTCTGTTCAGTTTTCACTTTTGAAGTATATTCGTTCCGACTGCGGGAGCGTGTTAACACGTGTTAGCAAGTGATTGTCCAGTCTTCACGTTCGTCACGTTTCGACTGCGGGGGCGTGTTAGAGAATATTATATTATAGAACTCTTGTAATATTAGAATTCCAGTATGATTGAGTTACCTAGATTAGTTAGGATTTAGTTGCCTAGTCAAATTATATTACCTTGAAATATTTTTCTATATATATTCCATGTAATCAACCCATAGCATAATGGGGGTTTCTATTACGTATTATTATTTCTCTCTTTCTCCTATTCTATTCTTCCTATAAATCGTCATCGCTATAGCCGCCTATTCCTTACCCCATAATCGCCCCCTCGATGGTGTAGCCTCCATCGCCATAGCCACCACCTCTCTCAATCATGGAGTGGATTGGTGGGGAGATGGAGGGAAGGAGGGAGAGAGAGAGAGATCCGAGGGAGGAACATGAATATGTAGATTATAGGATTTAGTGCATAAGGGCAACATAGCGATAAAAGAATTAAGGATGTGACTCGTATATTATTTCAAACTAAGGATTTAATTAAAATATTGGATTTGAACTTTTCATTTAGTTCAAATTAGGTTTCACTTGAGGAGCTTATAGCATATCACCCGTTAAAATTTTGAAATGAGTTTCTGCATTATATTTATTCTTGGGGCTATCGGCTATACCCCTCAAACATTTATTTAACTAGTTTAGACCCAACCCTAATTACAAACTTTGACAAAACCCCCTCACCCATTGTATTCCAAATTACCCTTGAAATGAGACGGAAAACGTTTACAATCGTCAAATCCCATCAAGCACAAAACCCCCCAAAGTCCCAATTATCCCGCCTCGCTGCAAGTTACGTTCCAATCCAAAATCACGAAAAATCCGGCGACAACCGTAGTCACCTCCTAACCCAAAAACATATTTCAGTTTGCGAAAGTCTTATTTGTAGGTTTATTATTTTTTTCCGGTTAAAATTCCGACTATAGCTTGATACTGTGAAACGCCAGACGCAAAAAAAAAAAAAAAAAAAAAAAAAAAAAAAAAAAAAAAAATGAAGAAGAGAAAATGGGACGAAATCCCGACTCGCAGGGACCCAACATGGCGCATTAAAGTTGATGTCCACATACAATAAACAGGGCAAATACTTTGAGATAGGGGGAAAAATATTACAATTGCACCATCGAACTGCGAGTGTATCTTTGGGATAAAATCAGGGAGGCGAAAATTAATTTCCGATAAAATGTGTAAGCCAAAAACCGGTTTGGCTGCCAGGAAGTTTGCAGACCACAAAAAACTAAAATTAGGACAGATTAAACATCAATTGGTTGAGTCCCTGCTAGGTAACAAAGAAGAGCACATCAAAGATGTGGTAGGGTTGATAATCATCCATCTCATGGCAAACTTTTTCTTTATTACTTCTGGTGAGTTTGCAAGCTAGTGGATGTTCCGATATTGCGATAATATCGAAGCTATGCGTGATTGCAATTGGTCAAAAGGCATAACAAATTTCTTCCTAAACTCGGTCCAAAACTCAGATCCAGAGAAAGTTCAAGGTTGCGTCCTACTCCTACTGGTAAGTCACATAATTTGACAAGTATTCATTTATTGAATACATGTACTATATGTTGGGATGTGCAGCCCAGGAGTCAATGAAAATTTGCAAGAGGTTCTAGATTAGCCAATTTTAATTTTATTAACATGCTTTGATTAGATTCGTTTAAAGCGGAATAAATCTAATCTAGAAACTTACGATTTTCGCAAGCAGATTCGTTTCTATCTTCGGCGCACGAACGAGGATCCACGTCAAGCCTTCAATCCTCGAAAAACTGTTGTCCAGAATTTTCCAGCCATCTTCCTTCACCGATATCTCCGAGATGGTTGATCCGATTGATAAACTGTTCGGACGGGTTATAATACTATGGGTTAGGAAGCTACTGTATGAACGGTTGATTTATGGTGAATTTCCTCGCATGACTGCTCAGAAATTTCGGGAATTATAGTTTGCTCTAAAAACCTATAATCTTCTATTATATATCTCGGATTAATAATTATTTTACAAGGGTGGACTTGTACTTGAAGAAATCTAAATCTATAATCGAGAAACCTAGAGAGAAAAGAAGAAAGAGAAATATTTTCACTTCACATGAATAGACGTGTAGCAAAAAACTTATCTCTCATCAACCAAATCTCTATTATATATAGCACAAGGAATTAGAGTCACACATAGAGAGCATTACATGGAAACAAATCATACTCCTTCTATAACTTTGCATAGTCGAAAATTGCAGTCCAATGGGGACTTAATTTTCGGCTATATTAATTCCAATATATGATATTGGTTGAACTTTATTTTCTCAATTAATTAGGAAAACCATTGGGCTACAACAGGGACTAAAGGAGAAAATATAAATCGGGCAACTAATAATTAATTAAATCCAAACTCTTAAAAGGATTCATTTAATTAATCATTAAATAATTATTTATTTTCCACTACCAAATAATTATTGAACTCCCATTTATATTCTCAAATATTACATTCGAGCTCCGGTCGATCATTACTTAGATTCTCCCCACATTAAGAAATCTTATAACCACCAAATAATTTATTCACTGCTAAATAAGTTAAATGGTTTCTTTTCACGAGTCTTACCCGCTTAACTTATTTGAGTATGCCGGATATGAAATCCACCTTGCCAAGACTTGGCATAAACAAATCTTATAAGCTACTCAAGGGTTATTATCAATCCCATATTTCAGAGATGTGGATTCATTTCGATAATTAATTTCCACCTATTAATTCTTAATGTCTCTACCCAACGCACTGGGGGCCATTTGACTCAATATAGGAATTTCTTCCATTGTGACATCAAAGTAGAGATCATCAATTAAATGTGTACGTTAATTATGTAGGGATTAAGAGAGTAAGTAATATACTGTCAACTAGAAATAATACAGTTCCATTTATGAACAGTGATGAAACAATTATTTCACTTTGTCCGGTTCAACATATGCCCGGTGTGCTAGCACAATAAGTCAAAACAATAACTACAAAAGTTATTCTCTGTTTACTGTGATCAAGACCAATCACTTAAATATTGTGCTACAATCTTTTACCAATGGATAGTCCATTTTCATCTAGATTGTGAACATTTATCTTTATATTCTAAACGAACTTTCAAAATGATATTTTTGTGCGCCGTAGCACACCATTTCGAATACTATTAGAATATTAGACTTATGCTTTTAATTAATTGACAAACAATCAATTACATGCATTAAATACCCTAGTGCAGATTCTCATAAAATGATAATAAACTATTTTATTAATTCAATAATAAGAATGTAGCTTAAAGCGACACTTTTAGTCTACTATCCTAACGCTATAGTCATCTGTTTTCACTAGTCATTGAATGACTACATATACAATA